TTAAAGAGTCTGTGTTGTTTCGCATGTTTCATCTGCCAGGTTTGTGAATGTGGAAAGAAAATGAGTGGCTGCAGCTAAAGACTCAGCTGTGGTATTAAGTAGAAAATGTGATTCTAGCACACATATCTACACACACACACACACACACACACACACACACACACACACACACAGCGCATTCAGAAGTTATTTGAGTTCCTAGCAGAAGGCACCGCTCTGCTCTACAGCTATTGATGAAGGTGGCTCTAGGAGGGGGCGATGGCAACTGCAGATGCGCCCTCCTATCGCCGTGGCGACAATGAAACTCTTTGTTGAGCTGTGTCAGTGTGAGTGTGGCATCTCCGATGAGCTCACCATTTCCTATTTATACTGCACTTACCTGAATGCACCAAGTATTGCAGCTTCTTAATGCATATGCAAAACACTAGAATGTCCTTTTGTGAGACACTTGGCTAAATGGCTGCTTTGATGTGTGCTCTTCATCGCCTCAGCCCGCATTCGGCTGCTTCCTTCTCCGTCAGACACAACCAACTCACTACGTAGACTCTGGCTTTGATTTTGTAGAACAGCCCAACAGAAAGAAACTATGTTCTCTTTTTACTTCATATTTCCAAAGACAAACGTACTGATTCGTTTTGATTTACTAACAGAACTATATTCCCGCCACAGACACTGGGTTCCTTTATGTCCTTTCGATCATCAGTCTATGTATGTGGACAAAGTTTTCCCAAGGAAAACTAAAATCCCTGTGTGCTGTATGCAGAGCCATGGATACGCACCACAGCCAGGAAGTTCATGAGGTTTGGAGGAAAAGTGATTATTCTTTACAAGCAAAACGTTCTTGGATGGCAGCCCGTAGTCTTGAAGAGATCAGGTGGCATTTTAAAAGGATATTCAATAAAACTTGGCATCCTGTCTTTTATTTGGGGAGAGATATTTAATATAAAAGGTCACATGTTTTAAATTGCCGTTTGCTCTGGGGCGAATTGTTTGTCATCCCTTCATACTTAGGGGTGGATAGGGTTTTGACTAACAGTCAGACACTTACTTGTGGTTCTCTTAATTACCAAGTTAGCAGGGCTCAACCAGGAGGATTTCAGTCTGTTTCTACTGTACTCTCTCAAGTGAAAGGTCACCTCTGTCCACTGAAGAGCTCAGCTTGTAACTCTAAGGCAACTTCAGTATGGAGAGCCAGGTGGTTTGGAGGGCAGGGTGGTGGGGTGGTATCCCCTAGAACACTAACCACCAAAAGCAACTGCTGATTTCCTACATTAATAAAGGGAAAAAACTTCAGCTGAACCATTCAAGATTCTGAGTAAACCTTGGAAAACCTCCTTTCCCGCCCTGTTTCTCCATGGTTGCCTTGTAAAATCTAAGAAGAGGCCAGTGAACTTTTTTTTGAGATCCTTAAATAAAAACTAATTCCTGCCACATACCCAAAAGTTAAATTTCTAAAGATGTTACGATGTGATCAGTGACTTCAGCTGAAGGACATAGAAATTGTTCCACCCAAGTACCATGACAGCAGAATGTAAACGTCGGGCTAAACCACAGAGCAGGTGCTGGGTCGTGTTGAAGCAGCCCTCAACCCACGTCTCACAGATGTGACAGTAAAAACCAATCCACATGTGTCTTTCCTCTCTGCTTCCTTCTCATTATAGTTAGTGTGCGTGGTTGTGAACATGCTCCTGGGCTCATTGGTTTGATGGATATATCTTTCAAGGGACAATTAACTATTTTTAAGGACTGCCCTGTCAACTAACATATTGTGCTTGTTTCTGATGTTTCTGTCCTTCATGACATAGATGGACCTACCTAAACACTCCTTCCTTTCTCTCTCCATCCAAACCTAGAACTCGAAAATAAAAACAGAAACCACTAGATTAAAGAGAATCAAAGAAAGTTTTTTGTGTTTTTCAAGTCCTCTAATTTATTACATACTAAAAATCTCTTTCAAACTGGCACCAACGTGGCTTCTCTTCTTGAGCTGATTAGGACCACGTGAGCTCAGGAAAAGCTGTCAGATCCTGCCTCTGGCACAGCTGGAGTGAGCCAACTGATTTGCCAGTATGATTTTTTTTCAAGAAATAAGCTTTATCCCCAAATCATACATTTATATTCTGTAAGACACAAGCAGAAAGTAATAATACTCATTTTCAAAGAAGTAAAACTTCATTATGACCTCTTTTATGAAACTTCCTCAAAAACAAAAGCAATTTGGGAGACATTTTGGACAACATTTCATGCTTTCATGGGAGCTCAGGCCTCTGTGGACTCTTGGTGCCACAGGGAAGTCTCATTCAGACAACACTGATCTCAGGGAAAGGGCCGTAATTGAAAAGCACGCTACATTTTGTTTGTTAGACTAGTCCAAGGGATAATTATGAGTTAGCTCATGCTTGTCTTTCTTAGCTGCCCGCCATGGGCTCTGAAACCTGCTTCTTGGTGTTTACCACAGTGACCCAAGGGCAGCCATGGTGTTCCTTGACTCCTCCCACAGGAAGCGCTTGACTCCCACAGGAAGCGCTTGCTCTCCAGTCCCACCCAACCGCCTCCTCACATCAAAGCTCACCTGTTATGCCTCTCCTTCATTTAGGGCTCTCTACTAGGGCAGCCCAAGCCTGGGTTTAATAAAGACTATATTAACGAATTCCTGGGCCCTAATATATTTGTATTTATTTCCTCAAGAAACACAAATGCCCTTAAGCAGACCAAGTCAACCTGCCTCTTTGAAAAATGATGGCATTATATCAACTCTTTATATCAAAAAGTTTTCCAGCCCCTTTTATAGCCTGTATCTGAAAATGGCCAGGATGGTGAGTATTTTATTTAAGAAAAAGTATCATTAGGAAGAGGGTGGGATGATCTTTCTAGAATTTGATTTCTGGAAATTTCTAGAATTTGATTCTTCAAATTCTAATTTGATTTTACAATTCGTTTACCCCTTCACCCCTTCCTATCCTCAGTATTCTGGGTTTGAGGTTGTCGTTTGTTCCCTGCTTTGATTCACATTCTAGTCCAGAATCCCCACCCAAGCTGTGCTGACCCCGCCTTCCACCTCAAAGCCTCCTTCGTGTGATTCTACAAAGAGGTTCCTTAGGTTCTTGGCCTTTGTTAAAAAATGCTAGAACTACTTGGAATTATCCTTTATTAATAACTAGCTACAACGCACATAGAATTACACCACCAACCAGATTGAAGTAAGTGTCCTCTGTGAAAAGAATAGGCGGCCTTACATAACCCACCATCCCCAATTAATAGTTAAGCAGGTGGAGAGGATCTGATGCACATCTTGTTGCACGCAAGGGTGGGTTGACAGAGAGCTGCGAGGCTCGGCTGGTACTTGACTGCAGCTTCAGCACGCAGTGTTGTAGCCTGGGAATCCACGCATGCAGAAGGAGCTCACAATGCTACCTGTGGAGGCTCGGCACCAAGAGAAGGTGACAGTTCCGGGCCTCCGAAGTGCCTCGCGCTGTGCAGAAGTTCCAAGACAAAACTTGCCACTATGTGAAATGCTCATCGAAGCAAGGCTTTTTCCAGCAACAATAATTGTGAAGACAGAATTATTAAATTTTACAACCACCCAATTTAGCACATTGTGAGAAATGCGGGAGAGGGCGCAGACGCCAGCCTGTCTGCGTAGAGACGCGGTGCGCGGGGATTTGATTTGAGACCACATTCAGAGGCAGGAGGAGTTTGAGCAGCCTGAAATGCGGCTCTTTTCCAAAGTGACTCCCTTCACCCATCCATACACCCCCCCCAAAAATCAAAATGTACTTCATGAAACTATTGTATACGAAGCACTTATTAGCCGTAATTAAATGGACAATATGAATTTACTACGTCTTTAGGACTCTGGCTTGTTCTGGTTTAGAGCAAGATGATTAATGCAAATACATATTACTTGAGATAACCATTTAGCAGCTAATTTAGCCAAATTTATTACAGCAGTTAGAGGTTTTTCATTTTAGCAGACGGAGACAAGGACATGCCAAAAGGGGGCCAAGTAGACGAGTGCACACTGCCCTCTAGTGGCCGGCAGGACGGTGAGCTCCTGGGGGGCGCAGAGTAGCCGTGTTCCCCTTCCAAGCCCTAGCAAGCCTCCTTTCCGGCATCCTTTAAACCACTCCCATCCTTTGCACTTGATTTCAGGAAATGATTTACTGCAGTTCCCTTTTACTAGCTCAGGAGAATCCAGAAACAAATCAAATCTATTCCAACTTGGCAAGATTTGGGTTAAAGTATCGTTTTTAACATCTGCGTGTTAAAGCTCTCTTGCAGTGGGTATTTAATGGCGCCGGTTCACCTTACTGGTTGTTTTTACTTGACCCTTCACTTTGCACCATATTTCAGCGTCTATGCGGAGCTGCCACTCTGGTTCTGGCCAAGTCAATTCCATGCCTCCCTTAGGCCAGTGTTTGTCTCTGACCGGTCTGAGGAATTTATTTTGTTCCAACCTCCAGCAGTCTCACCAGAGTTTACCCTGGCTTACCAATGTAAATGTAGTTCATCCAAGGACTATAAATTCTGTTAGACAAGATCAAAAGGAACAGATGGCCAAGGGCACGGGTTGGTGTTCCTCAGGCTGAAGGGAAATGATCAAAGACAGGGGTAAGGCATCTTCGGAATCATTCAAATATCCAGAATCTCACTCGAAGCTCTGCATAAATCATATACAGATTTGCCTTTTTTTAACCAGCTGATGTAAAACCCACTTTCAGTACCGCACCACATTGGGTGTGTGTTAGCCAGAAAAGCTAGTCATCCTTTAATTCCTCTTTTTCTCCATAGCTGCCCAGAAGGGAATAGAGCCAGCAGCCCTTGGTTGGAGCTGCTCTGCCAGTGAGTTGTTCATTTCAGCCTAAATTAAGCATACACGGGGCTCCCTTGGCTTCGGTGCAGGGCCTCCAGCTTCTAGGGCAGAAATGCAAATCATTTGGTACCAGCCTTAATAGCACACCTTCTGCTTTGTTTTGTCGTCCCCACCCCCCACCCGCCAGTGCTGAATAAGGGTCAGTGTGTGACGAAGTACTATCGCTGGATGCAGAAGAATGGAGGCTACATCTGGATCCAGTCTAGCGCCACCATAGCTATCAACGCCAAGAACGCGAATGAGAAGAACATCATCTGGGTGAATTACCTTCTTAGGTATCTCTTTTACTTCCGTTTCGTTTCTGTCTCCTTGTAAACTATAAAGCCCTACCGTTAATAGCTGATATGTGGTATGAGTTTTCTCCTTTGACAGTAGCTGGTAAATAGTTGTGTGAAAATTCTGTTCTTCCCATAAGAGTCAAAGAAATGTGAGAAGATCAAAGTGCAGTCATGCTTGGGTTGTCGATATTTGGGCAACTCTCTAGAAGCTTCCGTGGTTTCCCCTAAATGACCAATGAGAAAGCATACAGACCTGGGGTTGGAGAGGTGGCTCAGCCGGGTAAGAGCACTGGCTGTTCTTGCAGAGGACCCGGGTTTGAATCCCAGCACCCACATGGTGGCTAACAACCTCTAACAGCCATCCCTAACGCCCTTTCCAGGGGATCCGACGCCCTCTTCTGTTCTCCTCGGGCATAACACTCATACACGTAAAATAAAAATAAATTAATCGCAGGGCGTGGTGACGCAGGCCTGTAGTCCCAGCACTTGGGAGGCAGAGGCAGGCGGATCTCTGTGAATTGAAGGCCAGCCTAGTCTACATAGTGAGTTCCAGGGCAGCTGGGACAACAGGGAGACCCTGTCTCAAAAAGACAAATAAATAAATTAATTAATTAATTAATTAATTAATTAAAAAGACTTTCCAAAAGGTGCCTACACCTGAAGCATTCAACAGGTTATCTCTTTATCCCCCTCCACACCCAGATTCTTGTGAAAATTAAGCAAGAAGAGACAGAGGAGAAATAGCAGAGTACATTTTATTCCTCTGCACTCTGTCCTTTCAGTGCCCCACCCCTTCCCCACAAGGCTTCGTTCTCCAGTGTTCAATTTTGGTAGCAAGGTGAGCCGTTTTGCCAGAATGCTGGCAATCGCTGTGTAAAAAAAAAAACCAAGACGGGCTCTTTTTGCCCTTGGCTCTGTGACCACAGTCAGGTTTGCTGCTCTTAAAACGTGTCCTCGAATTTCTATCCCTATGAGTTCAGTCTCAACGGTTCCCTAATTTCTCGGGTGAAACACCTTTTCTTTCTCTTTCCTCATCTCCTTGCTTTGGGATTCCAACATCGAGTCAAGTAACTAAGACCATCAGCCTGCATGATTTGAGTGTGCAGGCGAGCCTTCTAGGAGGTTCTCCGCCCACCTTGTCATGAAGCTATCACAGTGCATAGCTCCTGCCTGCCCCCATCATTCCCGTCTTTGGCCTCTCTTGTCCTTAAGCAACCAAGCAGGATCCACGTGTGCTCGGAACAGGAAAACTCACAATAGAGCTAATGAATGGAAGTTGGTGCCCTTTGGCTGATAATTTCGACAAAGGCTACCTGAGTCCCATTTTTCTTAGAGCTGAGATGCTAACAAGCATGGCTCATCAGCACCCTGGCCCTTCAGCGGTTCAACACTTTGGTGATGACTCCAAGGCATGACTGTGCCTGCTTCCCAAGCATATCAATCAGACACTAATGATTATTGCTCTAGAGAGGGCCTTAATGGGCACCACTTACAAGAGTCTTCATTTATCTTTCTTTTTCCCTTTTTGACCTCGTCTACTCTATATGAATTGTAAAGGTAAAACTGTATATTTAATGTGACTTTCCCCAAGGTTTGATTTTCATGGTGGCCATCTCTGTGGTTGTGACGTGTTCAGGGGATTCTAACATTGAGGAATCCTTTTAGGTAGGGTCACATCACAGACAGTCACCATTCGCAATACAAAAAGTATGAAAGCCCGTGTGCCAAACAGAAAACAGGCAAAGGGACTGTGACACTGATGTCTTTTTACAAGGCAAAAATGGAGCTGTGACAAGAAGACCTGTTTACTGTGAGGAATTAAACACTGGTAAAAGGTCACTATAGGTTAGACAGCATCTGTCCCCCATATGGATGCAACATAGGGTTTTGAAGTCATCTATATGTTTGTCAGTCACAGTCAGTGGGAGTTATTTATTGGATATTATTTTCAGCAAGGATCTTTATTGGTTTATTATTTATTGATTGGTTATTCCTGATTTTCTGTGAGAACCTTTTGGACTGCCTCATCGCTCCCATGACTTCCCACTCTACCCCTAGGGGAGAAAGTCGCAAGGAGAGAGTGAAGACTCTGGATCAATACCGTTAGTCCAGGCTAGGGCCAAAGGGTACAAGTCCATAAGCACTTGGTAATTTTATCTCACCAAATGCCATATGGATAGAACGAAAGCAGTTTGGCCATCGAGGACCAGCTTTCAGGCTCCAGACCCTCAGTCTCACGTGTGACAAGCCTTTCACAGCTGACCCAAAGACCTACACTGAGGTCAATAATAAAGGATGGTAAATTTGGGGACAAAGGGTGGCTGAACCCTCATGGAGCCTAGATTAAAGGAAACTGATACCAATGGGCTATCACAGAGGAAGGTTCAGCGAGTTGGCCACTCATGGGTGCTGTTGCATAGACTGGAGATCTAGTAAGAAAAGGATTCCTTGGAAAAATAGGAACTCCTGAAGTTTGGGTATTTTTCTCACCTCGTTGGCCTTTTATATTCTTTCTCAGGCAATTCTTTCATAACATCTTCCTTGCCGGAGTCCCTCACTTCTGGGCCCTACATCCTTCCCTGTTCTGAAATTACTGCCCCTCAGTCATCTTTGTGTTCCCTGATAGCACTTAATGGAATTCTAAGCTCAGAGTAGTTGGAGACTGCCAAGTGCTAAGTCTGCCTTCTTACCATTAGTCTCATCTGATTAGATAGAGAACACTGTTGCTGTTGAAGCTAATTCACACTAAGGAGTAAATGCCTGATAATCCATCTTAGTGAATTAACCCTCCCAGGGACATTTGCAGTTTCAGAGTAGTTACTGAAATGGTGACTCCCTAATACGGGGAATTCAGGAGCAAATGAGTCGGTGTTCATCTGTTGTCTCTGGCTTGGCCAGCCATGTGCAAGGATAGAGGAGGCCTTCTCCTTTGGAGGCGGGATGCTCTCCTTGTCCCTTGAGGTTACAGAAGCCACTACTGATCATGACCAAGAAGCCCGGGGGTGCTTTTCTAGAAGACAGCTGGTTCAAACTGACCAAGCATTTCATTTCCAGAAGAGGCTCATTTCTAAATTAAAAATAGAAAAGTGAAGCACATTTGTGCAAACAGGGTTAGCTCCGTTCCGTTAGGGCCTTTCTCACACTGGGACTCTCCCTCTGCAATCAGATTTCCAGCTAACAAGCCACAGGTGTACACCACATGAGCAGATGAAAATGTGATTGTAATGGGTGTGTTGACAGTTCAGTAGCCATAATCCATGCATCCCAAAGTGCACCTGTGCATCTGACAGATCGTCAGGCACCGAGGACCCCCACACACACACACACGCCAGTAGCTTTGTCGCCATCAGAACGGCTGAGAAGATGCATCAAGGGGCCAAGGCAAGGATACTGAGGCAATGAACTCATTAGGAGTGCGAGAGGAGGTAGGGCTCGCCAGGCGGCACAGGAACGGATTGCTGAGAGTGCCTCTTGTCTTCCCAGCCCCCCCGGGTGTTAGACCAGGAGGCGTGTCAAGCAGCACAGTTCCCTGGCCCCCAGTGGTACCTGATTATTTAAAAGCTTTTTAGTGGCTTTCAGGCAGCATTTGGGTATTCAATCACTGTAGCAGGCAGGGTGCACCTGTACCCCGGCATGAGCAATCCAAGCGTCTGTGGAAAGTCCCGTGAGGGGCTGAGAAGCGAGTTCCTGTTTAGTCCTGTAAACTTTCTAAACTCTAGACATTCACCAGCAGATGGGTGCCTGCACTCCTGATGAATGCCTCCCTCCCCACAGCAATCCTGAGTACAAGGACACACCCATGGACATTGCACAGCTCCCCCATCTGCCAGAGAAAACTTCTGAATCCTCGGAGACATCCGACTCTGAATCAGACTCTAAAGACACCTCAGGTATTACAGGTATTTACTTTTTCTCCATGTTCTATAGCTAAGGCTTGCCTTCCTAAATATGAGGGGTGGGTCACAACCAAAGGACGGAGGCAGAGGCCTAGCAACCAAACTTTGTATCAAGATGTATACAGCAAGTTGTTCTTGACTGTCCTGTTCTCTCAACACACAAATGTGTATATCCATCACATGTACAAATATATACATGTGTATATATGTTGTGGCATATATATGTATATATACATATACATATACAACATACAGGGAAATCAATGTCAGTCCTCCTCATCCTTTTGGAAGGAGTCGTACTGTAACCCTACAGCCTATGTGGCTTTTTTAGAAGCAAGTACCAGAGATATTCTGCCAGTCCCAAGACTGTCCAACTTTGAGTGTCTATGTTCAAATCCTCGCCAAGCTGGCACTGAGTCTCTAAAGTAGGCTCTAAGCCCATGGGGTCGGGCTTTTATCATTTTGTTCACCACTAGATACATACACAAACAAGGGGCACAAACTATTCCAGAATTTCTGCCATAGTAAAGAACTTTCAAAGTAATATAATATGGTAAAAAACTGCTTTGTTGGTGCTAGACTGTTACTTTTTTCTGGAAGCAGGTATAACAAGTCCACGCTCTCCCAGTTGGGTTACTTAAGGGAGAAGGCCTGCTGAGTAACTTGGAGCAAGGGGCACACTATAGAAATGTTACTCTCCTTGGTTTCCAGTCCCTTCCACAGACACAGTGAGCCAATGAGCTCAGAATATATTAAACATTAGGGCTGTATAAATCCATTAGCCTTTTCTAACTCTACCTCTTTTGCTACAGAAAGGGAAATGAAGGCCAGAGTGGGTACAGGATTTGTCCAAGTTCTAATCCAGGCTGCCATGCAAAACTGATGTGGCAAAGCGATAAATATCAACATCCCTGGAAGCCGCCTCGGGTTGTATTTATGGGAAAAATGTATCCCCCTAAAAATGAGGTGGCTGGGTTCCCCCACCAGCCTGGTATGATCAGAGCACCTGAACTCAAGGGCTGTCAATTCATGCTGTACACCAAACCCCGCTGGGAGCGTGGGGGGACAGGCTCATGGTGGGTTTTGTTTGGCCCACCCCTAAAATGTATCAATTTTTAATATTTTTGAAGCCATGGCAGAAATCCTCTAGTATCTCTACCTCTTGTTTATACAGCAGTGAACAAACAGAACGCCTTAACCTCCCCCATGGGCTTTTAGTTGTGGAAGGGCACGGGCGGGGACAAATAAAATTAAAGACAACCAAAGGGTGGATGGGAAGTGTGATGCCTGGGAAACAGAAAGAAGTAGGTCGTCGCCGGCGTGGTGGGTACCCTTTAATCCCAGAGCTAGGGAGGCAGAGGCAGGCGGATCTCTGGGAGTTCAAGGCCAGCCTGGTCTACATAGCAAGTGCCAGGCCAGCTGGGGCTACAGGGAGAGCCTGTCTCAAGAAGACCAAAAAAAAAAAAAAAAAGGAAGTAGGTTTTCAACGACAAACACCAGATGTTCACGGGTGGAAGGCACGGGCCTTCCTGACCCTCCCTCACCGTCCGTGTCCATCACCCTTTCCCGGTTAACGGGACTTCCTGAGGATGTCGTCAGGACTTCCCACACCTACTGTGCCCAAGACTCCCCTGGGGTCCGTGCTCACGCGCGGCGTCCCAGCTGACAGGTCTGGGTGGAGCCCGGGTGTGAGGCTTCTGCTCCTAGCCGGCTGGCAGACAGAGTGCTGGGCGGGGTGCGGTTGGCCCGTCGGTTAAGCCTCAAGCTGGGATCTCGCAGAGCGAGCCCGGGCCCTGCCTAGTCCGCTAACCCGGTGTCCCCCCCCCCCCCCCAGAGGACAACGAGAACTCCAAGTCGGACGAGAAGGGCAACCAGTCCGAGAACAGCGAGGACCCCGAGCCCGACCGCAAGAAGTCGGGCAGCGCGTGCGACCGCGACGCGCGCCGCAACGACGACGGCCCGAGCTCCGGCCGCGCCGACGGCCGCGACAGCGACGACAGCTTCGAGCACTCGGACCCGGAGCCGCCCGGGGCGGCCGCGGGCTTCGCGCCGGGCCCCGCGCGCATCAAGGGGGAGCGCTACGCGGACGGCGAGGCGGAGCCGCGGCCGCAGACGGGCGAGTCGCTCACGTCCGATAGCGCCAAGGACTCGGACAGCGCCGGGGAGGCGCGGGCGCAGCCGGCCGGGAAGCTCCCGAAGCGCAGGAAGCGGCGGAAACGGCAGCGGGGCGGCGCCAGCCGGAGGCGCCTGTCGAGCGCGTCCAGCCCCGGCCCGGACGGAGGCCTCGGGGAGCCGCCGCGCCCGCTGCCGTCGCCGCCTGGCGCGTCGGGGCTCAAGATCAAGACGGAGATGGCGGAGCCCATCAACTTCGACAACGACAGCAGCATCTGGAACTTCCCGCCCAACCGCGAGATCTCCCGGAACGAGGCCCCGTACAGCATGACCAAGCCCCCGGGCGCCGAGCACTTCCCGTCCCCGCAGGCCGGCGCGCTGCACGTGGCCATCCCCGACTCGGTGCTCACGCCTCCGGGCGCCGACGGCGCGGGGCGCAAGACGCAGTTCGGGGGCGGCGGCCACA